TTTTTTTTTTTTTTTGAAGCAAGAGTTTCTTGCTATGTTGCCTAGGCTGGACTCAAGCAATCTTCCCACCTCAGCCTCCCAAGTAGCTGAGTCATGCCACTGTACCCAGCTCTACAACTTATTTTGAAATGCTTTAAAAAAAAGAAAGTGGACGGCGGTACCTGTGGCTCAGAGGAGTAGGGCGCCGGCCCCATATGCTGAAGGTGGCAGGTTCAAACCCAACCCCAGCAAAAAAAAAAAACAAAAAAAAGTGGATTGACAAATGAGTAGATTGTATATATGTGATAAACAAAATGTAGAAAAATGTACACAATACATTGGCGTTCACTATAGAATTGGAAGTTTCACAATAAAATGTTCAGATATAATAATTACATGTAACCACGCTAAATATTTTAAAGTATTTTTTTTCCTGAATCTGTCACTTCTCTGTTAAATAGAGCCAAGGAGCAATCACTGAACGTTTAAGAAGCTTCAGTATGCATGATTTAACAGCTATCCAAGGTGATGAGCCTGTAGGACAAAGACCACATCAACCTTTACCAGAAGCAAAAAGGAAAAGTAAGCCAGCCCCCGGTGAATCAGCAGGTATGCTTATTGTTTTACTATATGGTCCTTTCATAATTGGGCTTTTAGGTCAAGATGGGTACTAAAATAATACGTGTTAATTATCTGAATTTGGAGAGACAAAATTTACTTTTAAGCTTTTAAGCTTTTTTGTATTTTTGAATTTTACATTTTTCTGTAGTTCTTTTTCTCAAAGCAAGGTCAGTACATGGCTTTTGCCAACCATGGAGGTGATCTAGCTCACAGAGTAGCAGTTATCACTTGTGCAACCATAAATGTCTAGATGCTGTGGTTGTGGTTCCCACACCTTCTCACCACCAGCCAGTGCTAGTTCTGGGCTGTGATCAATACTCTTTCTACTCAAGCTGTGTCCTGATATCTGAGGCATTTTATAGTTGAACAATCTTTACCGTAAGTGCAGTGGACAAATAAGGATATTGACTCACAGATAATAAGTTTTAAGCAGGTGATGAAAGATGACTCAGTTTGAAAATAGTATCACTCCAATGGAAAATGTGTTGAAATGACATGCTAGTTCAAGAGCTAACTTGTAGGCATATTCTGTTATAAATTATGAGCATGTCATAGTTTACATATTCTAAAATTTCAATACGCTATCATGACCTTAGAAACATACACATAAATGAGACAGTTCCTTGATTATTTTATGACATGTAAGAAAGTTTTAACTCAAGGCAAGATCTTTAAAATCTTTAGAACATTCCTTTTTAATGTGTTATCTCTTTAAGGTGCAGGGCTAGTGTAGAAGTTTGCTTTTGAGGGAGAGTGGAAATCGTCCTTTATAATTAAAACCAGTTTCACTCTGGGAGGCCAAGGCTGGTTGGGTCACCTGAGCTCAGGAGTTCAAGACTGGCCTGAGCAAGACTGAGACCCCGTCACTACTAAAAAAAATAGCCAGGCATTGTGTCGCCTGTATTTCTGCTAAGTGGGAGTCTGAGATAAGAGAATTGCTCAAACCCAGAAGTTTGAGGTTGCTGTGAGCTATGATATCATGGCATTGCACCTGAAGTGGCAGAGTGAGGCTCTGTTTCAAAAAAAAAATTAAAAGTAGAAAAGAAAACAATTTGAAAAATGAAATAACAAGTTCCTCCTTAAAAATGAAAAATGGCTACTCGGGAGGCTGAGGCAAGAGAATTGCTTAAGCCCAAGGTCTGGAAGTTGCTGTGAGCTGTGATGCCACGGCACTCTACCAAGGGTGACAAAGTGAGACTCTGTCTCTTAAAAAAAAAAATGTAGCTTTTAATATAGGTATTACTGAGTATCCATTTAAAATTTGATATATATCAATTATGATTAAGGGGTCTGTTATATGTATTTTGCCAATTTAATCTAGATATCTGAGTCCTTTATCAGCAGTTTATTCATAATTATACTTTGAACTTGGCTATGAATTATACTCTAATTATGTAAATGAAAATAAGTTTATAAATATGAAAATTTATTATGATAGTCATCTATTAAATTTAAAATGCTATAAATTAAACAGTTTAAAATATTGAGGTGCTGTTTAATTCTCTTGTTAAATTTCAAACAATGGAAATTAAAATAACTTTTAAGATTTATAAAAATTTGAAGTAATGACCAGGCATGCTGGCTTATACCTATAATCCCAGCACATTGGGAAGCCAGGGGGATCTCTTGAACCCAGGAGTTCAAAACCAGCCTGGGTAACATGGCAAGACCTCATCTTTCCCAAAAATTTTTAAAAGCTAGCTGGGCATAGTGATACATGCCTACAGCCCCTTGAGGGGCTGAGGTAGGAGGGTCACTTAAGCCCTGGAGTTAAACGTTGCAATAAGCTATTATCACACCACTGCATGCCAGCCTGGAAGATAGAGTGATTCCCTGTGTATAAAAAAAAAAAAAAATTATGTCTTTGGGAAGTCAAGGTGGAAGGATCACTTGAGCTCAAGAGTTTGAGACCAGCATGAGCAAGAGTGAGACTCCATCTCTACTAAAAATTAGCCGGGCGTTATGTTAGGTGCCTGTAGTCCTAGCTCCTCAAGTAGGAGGATCACTTGAGCCCAGAAGAGGTTGCTGTAAGCTGGGCTAAAACCACAGCACTCTAGCCTGGGCAATGGAGAGAGACTCTGTCTCAAAAGAAGAAAAAAAAAAAAAAAAAACATAGTCAGTGCTGCATAGTAGTATAAGAAAGGTGTTTATTTAGTTGTGAAATTAAAAATTTAATATACATTACTCTTTAAGTTCCAAGTTTTCTGCAGATTGGTATATATTGAAAGCATTTCTTCCCCAAAGAAAAAATTTAACCAAAACTTTTTCTCTCAACAATATCTTTTTCGGCTCGGCGCCTGTGGCTCAAGCGGCTAAGGCGCCAGCCACATACACTTAAGGTGGCGGGTTCGAATCCCCAGCCTGGGCCCGCCAAACAACAATGATGGCTGCAACCAAAAAAATGGCCAGGCGTTGTGGCGGGCGCCTGTAGTCCCAGCTACTTGGGAGGCTGAGGCAGGAGACTCGCTTGAGCCCAGGAGTTGGAGGTTGCTGTGAGCTGTGATGCCATGGCACTCTACCAAGGGGGATAGCTTGAGGCTCCGTCTAAAAAAAAAAAATCTTTTTAACAAACTAGTATGGTTCTAGGACCAGAGCAGGTGAAGAAAATATAATAGTCCAAAAAGACACAAATGCAGGTGTAATGGAAATTTGTCAAATGAGAAAAATCACCTTTCAAAATGGTGGCAGAAAGGCAGAGTAAGTGATGTTAAAATAACTGCTGGATTTAGAAGGTGGGGTAGTGAATAAAGTTATACCTTTTGCCTCATTTTAGATCAAAATTAATTCTTAGAAGATTAAGATTTAGGCTTGGCGCCTGTAGTTCAGCAGCTAAGGCCACTGGAGCTGGTGGATTCAAACCCAGCCCAGGCCTGCCAAACAACAATGACAACTACAACCAAAAAATAGCTGGGCCTTGTGGCGGGTACCTGTAGTCCCAGCTATTCGGGAGGCTGAGGCAAGAGAATCACCTAAGTCCAAGAGTTTGAGGTTGCTGTGAGCTGTGACTCCACAGCACACTACTGAGGGTGACATAGTAAGACACTGTCTCAAAAAAAAAAAAAAAGAAAGAAAGAAAGAAATATTCCCATTGTATGTTACAGGCAAGGGGTTCAGATTTTCAACAATTTAGGAATCTTTACAAACCATTTATCATTAGTTCTACCAAAGAATACAGCTGACCAAAAAGTACATGAAAATGATTTGCAGCCTCCAGTAAAATAGTAAATTTTATCCAAAAAATAGTAAATTAAGAGTAATAATCACCCCATCTCTACTAAAAATAGAAAAACTATCCAGGCATGGTGGTGCACACCCACAGTCACAGCTATTGGGTAGGCCGAGGCCAAGAGATTGAGTTGTGGCCTATGATGACGCCATAACACTCTACCCAGGGCAACCGAGTAAGACTCTTGTCTCAGAAGGAAAAAAAAATAGTAACAGTTTTAATTCTTGCTCAGCATATTGACAAAAATTTTTTAACTAACAGTGCTCTGTATTAGTTACTATTCCAGTTATCTATTGCTATATAACAATTCCCCCTATCCTAAAAAAAAAAAAAACTGGCTTAAAACAATCACAGTCCTTTATTTTGTTCATGACTCTAAGGGTGACTAGATTCAGCAAAGCAGTTCTTTCTTTGGGTCTCATGCAGCTGTGATCAGACAACAGCTGAGGCTGAAGTCCTAATTTCAAAGAAGAGCTCACATGTCTTACGTCAGCTGGGAAAAGTCAGACAGCTGGTGTCTAGAATGGTTGGGGCCTCTCAAGTATTCCTGTGGTTTCTCTCCATGATCTCTGAGGGTAGTTGGGCTTCTTACCTGGCCACTGAAGGCTCCTAAAGCCAGTGTCCCAAGAGAAACTGGCAGAAGTCCTGCAGCATCATTCCTGTCCCATTTTTTGTGGCAATGTGTTAAGGAAGTTAGAAAGACCTATGAGATTTTTTTTTTTATTTAAAAGCATTTAATGACATAGCATATATTTAACAGATAGGGCAAAAGTTGAGAGGTACAGGTCGGACAACTGAGCACCAGGCCTGAGCGACCAGCTCCCAGTTCAGGCCCAGAAGACCTATGAGATTTAAGGAAAAGAATAAAAGAATGTCAGAGAATTTGTAGACATGTTTTAAAACCAACATAGCAAGCGTGTTGAGAAACGAAAACTCTTACCTACTTTTTTTGAGTTTGAAATGGAATCATCGGCTGCTCCAAGTACAGGGGTGTTTACGACAAATTGAGCAAAACCAGTTACAGATTCCTTTGTTCCTTCTCCACTCCCACTGCTTCATTTGACTAGCCTTAAAAGAATTTTTTTTCTTTAAATAAAATAAAATGAAATCATCCTTTTGGATGATAATCTGGCAATAATCATCAAAATGTATTATTCCCTTTAACGCAACAAGAAACTTCTAGGAATTTGTCATAAGGAAATAATCAGACAAATGTTCAAATATATATGTACAAGAATGCTCGTCTCATTGTTTATAACAACAAGTACTGGAACAAACCAAATACCTAAGGAAATGATTAAGTAAAAAGTGATTTATTAGCTGTGAAAAATAATAATGTCAGTCTGTACTTACTGACATGAGAACATATCCATGTTGTGGAGAAGAAAACCTAGGACAAAACAGTGTGTGTGTTACAGTCCTAACTGTAGAGAGACACAATAAGTAGATGCTGAAATGGATATATATACACACATTAATGTATATACATAGGCAGGCGTCCTCAAACTACGGCCCCACGGGCCACATGTGGCCCGCCTAAGACATTTGTCCAGCCCACTGGGTGTTTTTGCCGCCGCTGCCTGTCCTGCTTAGCAGCTGACTCATCCCGGGGCCTGCAGTCCAGCCCTCCAACGGTCTGAGGGACAGTGAACTGGCCCCCTGTTTAAAAAGTTCGAGGACCCCTGACATAGAAGAAAGTCTGGAAGCATATTACTAAAATGTTAACAGTATTTAGCTCTGAGTGGTGGGACTTTTAGTGAGT